CACAGCAGCCCTGTGCAGGAGAGCTCTGGCCAGGCAGCTGTGGCCCCTGCTGTCTCCATCCATGTCTCTTGGGGACAGGGTAGAGCAGACCTTGGCCTGACTGTGGTGCTAGGGTGACCACCCGTTCCTAATTGGGTGTGACAGTCCTGGAATGTGAACCTCAGGTCCTGGTCCCGAGCCGCATAACTGTGGGACAGCATTTGTCCTGGATTTACAGTGTTTTGCAGGGATCTGGGTTTTCCATTCCCTGCGGAAAACTGCGTGTCTCTCCTTGAAGTCTGGCAGCATTCCAGGGTGTAAGGGACTGCCAGGACTGGGACGCAGGGGGTTCCATTTGCATGTGCCTGCCCACACACATTTTTGTGGTTGGGAATACAGCCAGGCAGCCTGGAGAGCAACTCTCTATCGTGAAGCTCCTCTATGGGTAGGGAGGGGAGAGGGCATAGGAGAGGCAGGGGGTGCAGACTGAAGCCCCTACAGTGAGGGAGGGAATGCAGCAGGGCTCTGGTTGTGGGCACTGCCTGGCCAGGGTGGTGCATTGAGCCTGGTGTGGGAGCAGAATGAAGCCACAGTCAGCTTGTCAGGGTTGGGGGGGGACCAGCTCACTGCTGCTGTGCACAGTCTCAGGGTAACATGGGTGGGCACGTTCCCCCCAAATTTGTGCATGGGGCAGGGGTGAATGAAGACTGTCTGCTGCAGACTCAGGGCTCCCCACCATGCTGCCTTTCCCTGGGAGCCTTGTGCTGGCCATGCCGCCATGGCGAGGTGCCCCCTGTACACCGGGCAGCAGCAGGGGAAGTGGTACGGAGTTGTAACCCTCTGCTGCTGCCAGGTTGGCGGGGGGTGAGCGTCTGGCACAAGGCTCCCGCAGAAATGGCAGCAGGGCGGGGAGCCCCAAAGCCCACAGCAGGCAGCTTTCATCTACCCCCACTCCAACCGTGCCTCTGGCAGAGGTGAAGGGCGGGAGGAGGAGAGGTGGGCATGTGTCCCACCTTTCCATTTTGAAAAGGTGGTCACCCTATGTGGTGCCTGGAGAAGGTACTTGTGGGAGGGGGTGGTGCTGCAGGGGTCGCTGCACTGGGCAGTCCCAGGAAGGTCCACCTCCCATGCCCAAGTTGAGCCGCGCTGCCATCCCCTGCCTCTGCCCTTGCTTTTGTTCCCACTGTGCTGAGCTGGGAGCCAGGCCACTGCTGCAGGGTAGCACAGACCTTGGCAATGTCCCTTGTCGCTGTTGCCACTGGAGGGGTCCCAGTAGGGTCCACTCTGCCCCTGTGTGTGTGGTCACTACATGGGGGGGCTGCTCTCCCCCCCCCCAGCCTCCATGCCCTGGCC